GACCCCTCTGGCCAGGGAAGCGGTTTCGGGGGAGGGGGGAGCAGCACCAGCAACAAAATACCCCAAACCACTCCGAATCTAAAGCAAATAAAAAGCAAACCTGCCGGGGGCTCTAGAGGTCCTAATTTAATTTGTAATAATTAAAACAAAACCCTCACAAACCTAACAACCTACAAATTGATAGCTTAAGTCTGAAATAGTGTAACTTTCTTACGGTGAGGAAAAAGCCCAAATACGTATCTGTATGTGAAATATTCACCAGTTTCAGTCGCTGTGGTTATCCCAATGAACAATCTGGGTGCTACAAACGCTGTTTTGCAGATGAATAACCTGCTCGGGTTATTCCACAGAGGGGGGATTTGAGAAGAGGTGAACGGTGGGAGTTATGGGGGTTGTATTGGACCACTGGTCCCTAAGAAGTGATTGAAATAGTTAAATAACATCTAAATAATGCAGAATACGTTCCGGTATATTAAAATAACCAGCTTCAGCATGTGAATCGAAATGCTTTGAGTCTGTGACTCCTTACCCTTCTGATGACTGCTTACACAAGATGTCCTTATACCCGTACATCAGGGTCAGGCTCCTGCTGTTCTGATGAACTAGGTTCCTTTTTATTATTACTTTTTAATATATTTTGTGTGTGTGTGTTTGTGAAGTCAGCAGAAACCTTACAGCTGTCAAAAGCCACAGGGGAAATAATTAACAGATTAATCCAGTATGACATCTTGAGAAATTCAGCCCCAGAAAATGGGGAATAATGAGCTAAACCACTTAATTTCTGTAGGCTTCTTCTCACCTCTCTGGCCTGACAGTGTTGTTGTGGTGCAGAAAAGTCTGAGGTTGGAGTGGCAGGCAGGGGCTGCCCAGGATGCTCTTTACATTAAGATTATGGAGAAAAGGGAGTGGATGAAGTAACTGATACAAATGAGATCTTGGACTCAAGCAGTTCCAGAAGTTCATTGAATCACAGGATGGTTTCAGGTGGAAGGGAACTTTAAAGGTCATCTAGTCCAACTGCCCTGCACGGGCAGAGACACCTCCCACTAGACCGGGTTGCTCCAAATCCCATCCAACCTGGCCGTCAACACGTCCAAGAAGGGGATATCCACAACTTCTTTGGGCAACCTGTTAAGCGTCTCACCACCCTCACAGGAAATAATTTCTTCCTAATCAAAATCTACCCGCTTCTAGCAGCCATTTCCCCTTGTCCTATCACTACATGCCCTTATAAAAAATCCCTCCTCAGCTTTCCTGTAGGCCCCCTTTAGGCATTGGCCACCATAAGGTGTCCCTGGAGACTTCTCTTTTCCAGGCTAAACAGCCCCAACTCTCTCAGCCTGACTTCATAGGAGAGGCACTTCAGCCCTCTGATCATCTTCTTGGCCCTCTGGACTCACTCCAACAGGTTCATGTCACTCTTGGGATGGGGTCTCCAGACCAGGTGGGGCCGCATGAGAATGGAATAGAGGGGGGAAGATACCTCCCTCATGTTATGCTTCTTTTGATCCAGCCCAGGACATGGCTGGCTTTCTAGGATACAAATGCACATTGATTGCTCATGTTGAGCTTCTCATCAATGAACACACCCAAGTCCTTTTCCTCAGGGCTGTTCTCAATACATTCTCTGCCCAACCTGTAATTGTGCTTGGAAGTTACTGCTTTGATGTTGAGCTGGAAGAACAGTGGCACTGCACTGCTTGAGTCTTTTGTAAAAGCTTTCTGTGTTCCAGACCCACATGCCTGTCTTAGTATAATGCTCAGGAAAGTAGACAGGTAAAGATATCCCACATTTTGTAAGAGAAAGAAATGTTATCCTAATCTATTAAAATTAAAAAACAAAACAAACACCACCTCAAATTGGCCTACAAGGTAACAGTGAAATTCAGTGACTAGTAGGAGGTAGTTTTCAGAAGGAGAGAGCTTTTAAAAATAGGTAACTGAAGACATTAACAAAATTTCTGAGATAAATTATAGAAAAAAACCCAACTTATTGAGCATACTCCTGTTTGTTTTTTTTAAATATAAAATGCTTAGACACAATGTCATTTTTAATGGAATAATATAGTTAAGAGCAATTACTGATCTGCTTGTGATGCTGACCAAAGTAGTTCTAATGGCTCTGAGGTCTCCATGTTGTTGAGTGCTCCCTGAGAAAGTGCTTGCATATACTGCAGTAATACAAATAATAAATAACAAATATTTCCTATTGTTTCCTGCTATTCCAGTAGTAAATTGCACCTGCTAAGCCTGTTTAAACTTGCAAGAGGCAGAAAAGCACTTGTTAATCTGCTCTTTTTCTGTTTAAATAAAACAACTTTTCACAGATGGATACTCCAAAAAGGAAATGATACTTTCTGGAGAATGCAGTTCTACTGAGTGGATTTCCTGGATGATTTTGTAAGCTGTACTAGGAAAAGAGAAGAAAAAAACTCATGTATTTTCAGGTCAGTTTTCAGTATTATGATTGATTTGTGAGTTTGCACTGCACAGCCCATAGAATCTCTTCTCATAGTTGTTGTTTTTGTTGTTTTTTTTCCTTAAAGGTTATACAGCACTTTTGACTGAGTTTAAATGCATTCTTTGAAAATACATGGTCTTGGCTAAAGGACTGGTTAAACTGGAAGAGAATTTACCATAAGGAGACTGTTCCTGGGGCTGATATTGCTGCTAGATAACTAAGAAGCTCATGCTAAGGGGGCAAGGTTGAGGCAATGCTTCAGTCTCTCGGTGGTTCTGCTGCTCCAGGCTGAGGGCTGGGTGCTGTGCTGGTCATATGGAATTTTAAAGGAAACCTCTGACTATCCTCCTCCAGAAGATTAAAGCTTGCTTCATGTAACAGTGCTGAGAACTGCTTGCTTTTGATAATTCGTACCCCAGGATTTCAGATCCCCCTAAGTGAAAATGTGATACCTTCCTAAGGGAATGCAGAGAGTCACAGGGACAACCTGCAATAACTATTCTGCTGGACATTTTTTGAGTTGCTATACCCCTTTTTAAGACTCTCACCTGAGCAAGGAGTTTATAGATGTTCATTTCTCTCCACTGTTCCCAGGAAAACCTGGAATATTATTTTAGACACTGATAGTTAATACCATTAATTAAGTTAATTGAGATGAATCCCATCCTAAATAATCTTCACAAAGGCCCTTGGCCAGATAATAAGAAATGCTGGATGCCTTTTATGAGATTCTGAGTGTCCTGACACCAGCTGATGTCCAAGTAGTTGGAATAGTGTGGAGTAGGACTCCATGCAATAGCTATCGTAGTTTTATAATTTATTTATTTTTTTCTTTACTGACAAGGATATTAATGTTTCTTCTGGGAAGTGTTTTCTTACTTTGTCTCCATATTGCATTAAGATACTCAGCACTTCATAGGAAATGGCCTTTGAAGGGTATTTATGATGTGCTAAAGATTATACACCAAGTGAGCAGTAGCACAGTGACTAGAATTCTCCTTTTACCAAAAATACCTTCCCACAAAAGTGGAAGAACAAGCTGCAAATTCCATCTGCTTCCTCACAGGGAGAGATCCAGCAGGTCCTCCAAAGGACACCTTCTGTTTCCCTTGGGACTCAGCTTCATTTGAAGAAACACCATCAGAATTCTTAGCATGGTGCCATAAAAATACTTATGCAACAAAATGCTGTCTTGGATTCTTGTTTGAATGTTTTATGCAGCATTCACATGCTCACACACATCAACATTCATGTTCTGGTTTTATTTTTAGGTGCACTTAAACTTTTATATATAGTTATTCATTTGTATATAAATTGAAACATTACAGAAAACAATCCTCAAGTAATTTTTTTAAATTATTTTTTTAACTGAACACTTAATTCCAGACAAAAAGACCCCCTGTCCAAATGATCTGCTTGTCTGTTCTGGTTTTCACTGTCTATATGATGAATGCAAGATAAATTCCATTATTATCTCTGCATCTACCTGGAAATCATTTTGCCATTAATTGACATACAAGGTAAGACCATGCTTGCATTTTCTTATGTGGTATCCTTTTTTTTTTTTTTACTGAAATATTGACAGTCAGTATAATACAAAGAATACTGATTTTTAATACTGTGGAAACATGTGAAACTTTCCCAGTATAACAGAAAAGGATTTTAGTTTGGGGTCTTTAAAAATACGTTAATTTGGTATTTGTAATCATGTGCTGTTGCAAATTCTGGGGCCTCCTGCATGCCTTAGGAGGAAAAATGCCCCCACCTGAATATAAGCCACACTGAAAACTGGTGAAATTGCAAAGTTAGGTTATTCACCTGCTCAACTTGTTTCCAAAAAGTCCATTTCTACTTCAGGTGGTGTTTTAGTGTTAAAACCTGTTACTCAAATGAGAAGGAAATGATGGTGACTTCCTCCAGTGAAGCTGGGTACTAGTGCTGGGGTCAAGGATACACTAGGAAAAATGACTTGGGAAGAGGCCCTGCTGCACTTTAGGTGTTGCCACTGTGTGCATATCCCTCTCTCTCTACTCCAGCTCTAAGTGCTCTGACACATAGAGAATCTGCAGCAGGAGCCAAGTTGAATAAATATGCACAAAATTTCCACAATATAACTGAGAATTTGACATGCTTAAACAGGGCAGGCTACTTTCAATCCTGCTTTATTCTTTCCTTGCTCAGGAACAATCCTTGTCTTCTATTTTCAAGCTACCTCTGAGAGATTTCTATATGGATTTTAAAATGGTCTGTTTTGGTTTTGTTTGTTTTGTTTTTTTGTTTGTTTTTGGTTGTTTTTTTTTGTTTGTTTCATTAAGTTTAACAATTTAGTTGTATGACTTAGACTACATTCCATGTAAATTCCACTTAGAGTAAATCACTGCAGCCATAAACTCTTTGTTCTGCAAAATAAGTCTTCTGATTTTAGTTCTTTTTGAAAGACCAAAAGGACCCACCTCCAGATTCCTCCTTATTCCTCTGATTCTGACTTCAGCTGGCAAGCTTGTATATTGTTTGTGTCCCCTTGGGATGTCCTTCCAAGGAGCAGCAATCTGGAAGTTTGATGGCAACCCTGGGAAGTAAGCAGAGTGGATTATCTGTTGGATTTGTTTTATTCTCTGCCATAGTGACCTGCCTTGCTGCACAACAGTCCCTCTCAGTGGATGCTGAACTCAAAATCCTGTTTTTTGGGTCAACTTGCAATTTTGTCTTTTAAATATATATATATATATGTGTGTTTATGTGTGTATGTATACACACACACACACACATACACACACACACTATAGCTGTGTATGGGGAAGGCACCTGGTTTGATCCAAGTGCTGGGTTCCAGCAGACATCTGCTGCTGGTATCTTGGGGAATTTTAAAAGTCTGTGTAGTCAGGGCAGTCACTTAGCTACAGTAGGGGGAAAGAAAGGAGAGCTGAAACAGGATCTTCCCCTGCCGGCTCCAAAAAGCAGAAACCTAGATCTGCAGGGAATCTGGGCCAATGTGTTCCTCACACTTGAGACGACAGTCCCACTCATTCCTCAATCTGCAGGCTGTGCCATGATGAGGTTTCGCAGCTGCTCCGGGTGCCGGGGGTGTTTCCCGGTTTGCCCTGCTCCCCTCCACGGAAGAGTTGCTGGCTTCAGCACACGGGGCTGCGGGAGCTCCAACCGCAGAGGAGTGAGTGGAAGTTGGGAGTGTTACCATATAAAGCCTTTTTCCTGAAAACATGTTCATCTGTTGAAGCTGAAAGTCTTTGTAGGGAAGACTTGAATTTGATGAATTTCCTATTAAAAAAAAAAAAAAAAAGCATATAAAAGACTCAGCAGATTTGAGAACATATGGGGTTTGATTTTCCACTGTCTTACACATTGTGCTGTTGTTTACGATCTGGAAAGCAGACGTAAAATGCAACCTCACTGCCTGGTTAGGATTTGCCTCCACTTAGTTGCAAGTATGATTAAATACATGAGATTAAAAAGCCTGGTTAATCAGTCCCTGGCTTTTTTTCGTCCATGGTCATTAATCCTTTGTTACCTGTTTTTGACCACTGTGACACATGTAGGTTTATATAGTCCCCTCTGCTGAACTCTTCCTCTTTTGCTTTGCCTTTCCAGGCTTCTCCTGGGAGTCTTTCTGGGTTACTACATCCCAGGTGTTTTGAAAGGAGCATGTATTTAGAAATTGGAATGGGGTGGGAGGTACAAGGAAGACTGAATTTTTTTTTGGCGGGGTCACACATTCTGTTAGTGAAAGATGAAGATGATACTTTCCCTCCCCACTAGCACCAGTGACTACACATGAAATACTGCATTCTGTTCTGGCATCCCACTACTATGAAAGATGACAAGAAAGAAGGAAGAGAGAAAGAAAAGAGCAGTAAAAGGGATTCAGAGACTAGATATATATATACTGACTTATATGGACAGTCTAAAATAACTTTTAAAAAAGATATGGCTTGTCCAAGAAGAAGGCTACAGAAAATACCACTTGTCTGAAAGCAGATGGTAAAACTAAGCAAAGAAGGGAGTTGGTTATGGTAATGCAAGGTGAGTAAAGATGATGGGATGAAATGCAGAAAAGAAAAATATGTGCTTTTAAGCTTGCCTAAACTATAGGACTGTCTCCTTAGTATACTGTGGTAGTTTACTGTACCTAGTTACAGAAAGTACTTCAGAATTCATTGTAGGTTCCTGGTGCTGTAGTCAGTTGAATAAACTAGTGGAGGTACAACTTTAATACATACTTACATTGCTGCCATGCTTGAAAAGTCTCAAGGACCACAATGGCAGGTGGGTGTATACAAACCTGTATGTAAGAAAGACAAATCTGACTTTTTCTGATGGCTTCTTGCTGCTTTGGGTATCTCCTTCCCTTTGTTCTTGGTTGCCAAAGCTTCGGGGTTTTGTGCAATTTCTCACTATTACTTCAATACAAGAATCTCTCACTCATATCCAATCTTTGTATCCCTTGGAAAGCCACTGTTTCTCTAGAAATCCACTATGGATGGAAAAGTGAAGGGAGTTGAGGGAGTGATTGAGTGCTTTGAAAGGAATGCATGTCCTTAATTTTTCCTTTCTTTGTTGCTGTGACTTTGTGGCCAAGAATCACAAGATCCTTTGCAATTATATGTAGAAGAAGAGTGTGTGTCTGGCACTCTCTCATAAAATTAAAGTCAGCATCACAATACCTTTCTTTGTCCATGTTTGAATGCTTAAAAATATTATAGTTTTAAGGATTTAATGCAATAATGGATCACGGTGTGTGTCATGACCAGCAAGCTAGTTAAAGTTAGTTACTGGACTTAAAAAATATCAATTGAGAGCATTATTATCTCGGTTTAATTGCTGATCCTGAGTCAAACTGTGACAAGAAACTATTTTCGTATCCTTTATGGGTATTATGTGCATTTTACATTATAAAGTCTATTATAGTTATCAGTTTGATGTCATAACTGTCCAGGTTTCACTGAATGGCATCCCAGCCTTCTGGTGTGTCAGCCACTCCTCCCAGTTTAGTGTCATCAGCAAACTTGCTGACAGTGCACTCTGTTCCCTCATCCAGGTCGTTGATGAAAATATTGAATAGTACTGGTGCCAGTACTGACCCCTGAGGAACTCCACTAGACCTCCAACAGATTTTGTCCCAATGACCACAACTCTCTGACTTCTTCTCAACCAGTTGACAATTCAACACAATTGCACTTTACAGGTCCTATAAAATCTCAAAGATTAAGTAGTTGACTTGTTTCTTTGCTTCATTAGGGCCTCCTTGTGTCATGTTCACAGAGCAAAAATGCCCTGAAGGGGGTAAAATGGCTTTCTGAAGCTCTTTCTCTTCTTCTGGTTCATATGACCTCCATGGAAATGCAGGATGGGCATGGAGTACATTGAAGGGTCATACTAGTTTCAGGGTGAAGCCTGTATACCTGCCATTTATTTATAGGGAATTGAGGAGAGCAGAAACTAACTGAGGCTACTCTGACTCATATTGGAACAGAACAGCAGCAGCCTACAGAACAGACTAAGGCTATTGGTCCATGTCCTTCTCCCTACTGTTTATGCCCCAAAAGGTTAAAAGAAAAAACTGAAAAAACAGTTTCCAGATGCTGATAACCTCAAGGCTGTATGAGCACACAGATACAGGGGTTCCCCTAAGTGGAAGAAATCTGACTCTACAAGTTACACACTTGACTGAAAGATGGAATGAAACTATTTTTGTTATGTGATGTTGAAACAAACAAAAAAATGATGCATCACTTCAAGCACAGCAGAGTGGGGAATAGGTGACAGTGTCTCATCTGCCAGCCTGACCAAGCCTTCAAAGGAGGTGATACAAGACAACATAACAAGGTGTTCTTGCTGAGCCTTTCCTGCTTGAAGAGATTTATGACATGAAATTAGATCCAGGCTGGCAAAAGCTGTTTATTTTACAACTAGGTTAAAATTTGCTGAAGTCAAGGATGCAGATACCAAGTAAATAAATATTAATTTTAATATTAATGTGGTGTCAGGGAAAATGGCTAGAAAGCAGTTGTTAAGATGGTTAAATCTTCTGTAGGTTGTACTGGAAAAAAGCCAAACAAGAAAACCCTCTGAAGTTTTCGGTGTTGGATATGTTTTACTGTTTCTAATATAAATTCACTGATGATAGTTATTACCACAGCTGGGAACTGATCACACTGTGCAGGGAGGTCTTTGCTGCATTTATGCTGGGCTAAATGATACTAAGCTCTGACTGTTTTCTTGAATGGAAACCAGTTTCAGTACTTAATAGTAATTTTAATGTGAAAGTTTTAGTATTTCAAAAAATACAGGGACATGGTTTGTTACATTTATATGTTTCTATTCCAATCAGTAGGACCTGCATAATACCTTGGAATTTTAAAGGCTGCAACTGTTTTTTAAATGCTATCATTCTGCAGTGACAGAAAAGTAGCTTGCTCACTTCTTTGCACTTTCAGTATTTCATGTATTCCTTCCAGTCAGCTTGTTCTTTGCAGCATGTTTAGACAAACTGCAAATTAATGTGCCTTCACAGGACTGCTGCAAGCCAGGCAACAGAACCAGATGAGACAGAAAAGAAAAAGAGCAGGATGCATTCATTTGTTCTTCACTGTGTTTTCAACTGGAAATCAAGAAGTATTGCAAAGATAATAATCTATTGCTTTTACATGAAGTAGAGATAGCTTATGTATATCTCATGACAGCTGAATCTCCAGTCAGTTGGCATTTTGTCCAGCATCTAGTATGAGTTTGACAAATGCCTTCACTTTGCCAATCTCACATTGCCAAGTCACAGTTCAGATCGCAAAAGAACAAAGGCAAATTCAATAGCTGGAAAAACAGAAGAGGAAAAAGACTGGCCTTGGACAAGATTTCTTTTACTGCTGCTAGGAGCTTTACTTCTGGGTAGAACTGTTTCAATAGCCTGTATTCCTCTGCACTTCATTTGGGAAATAATATGTTAGCATACCTCAAAACCAGTGGAGCCACCCAACAGAAAACTATGTAATGCCCACACTGCCAGATGCTGGTCTTTGTAGCTGTGCTTAGAGCTACAGGTATTTCAGTTAACCTGCTCTGAGATAATCCAGGTATCTCTTGCCTTACAGGGAACGCTGCAGTAGAAATTACTTATATTAGGAAGCTCAAGTTTCCCAGTTTCTAAGTATTGTTGATATTTTTTAAAACTGTACCCATATTTTAGCAAAAATCATGTCTGTTACTTGGTAGGTAATATGTGAAGAGGGTATTAGCACTTGGAACAATAATGCACACATTAACACAGACTTTCTTAGATGTTTTGTCTCCTCTCCCCACCCCTTACTTTTTGAGAGCAAGCATGATTAAAAATGGTTTTGGAAAATAGATGACAAATTGTTTTTTAGTTGATCTTTAAGCATGCATAGAAGATGTATGCTTTGAAAAATACTTAAGATACAATCATACACTGATATTTCCTGAGCACATCCATCACTCTCATGGGACATGTCTTTTCAAAACTCTCCTTCATGCATACATCTCTATGATTTTGCAGATACCTAGCATAATTAAAACAACAAAAAAAAAAATCCTTTTTCCTATCTAAAGTTAATATAGGGCTTCAGAGCAGACAGAGAATCAAAAGGGTCTTCTGGAACTAATGAAGAACTTTAAATATCATTACCATCACTCATGAGCCTTCATTACAGGAAAGAGAAAAAATATTGACCATATCATCATGGACCTTTCTGAAACAAGTCTTGCCTGTTTTAGTGGATATGTGACAGGGGCCAAATACAGCTTCCAACCCTTTGTCAGCACCACTGACCAGCTCTGGGGTTTCACAGACTGCCTGAGAAGCACACAGCTCCTTGTGCTATTTGACAGCCACAATATAGCATCTGTCCCTTGTATCCCTGAATGTTCTGAGAGCCTCTCAGCTTCCCTCCAGGATGTTCAGCTCTTTTTCTTTCTGCTTCTTCACATCCAGAGACCTGCATGGCTATAACTGACTTCTTAGCTTGTGTATGTGCCATCCATCCTGTGAATATTTCTCAGGTCACAGCTTGATTTCTCTTTTATGCTTGTACAGAGGTAAGTTAAATTACTTTGATATTGCAGGCTGAACAGAGGGCTTGGCATTTTTATAGATACTTCTTAAAGTCACACCCCTTTTCAGTGACAGCATGGTACCATCTTCCAGGAGCACAGGATGACTGTCAGGACTATTGGCCACTGTTTCATGAGCCAAAGATTTTAGTGACTTGGTAGACAGTAACAGTTCCCCAAAATCAGATGAATCA